CTGACCAGCGCTGACTACAGGAAGCCCGAGGCAGAGTTGCTCTGCCCCGGGCTTCCTGGAATCAGCTGCTGATCAGTTTCAGCAGCAGCTGACTTGGGGACGCCTGGGGTTCTTAAGTTGATTCTGTATGTAAGTCAGAACTGGCGGTCAGTTTCAGCAGTGTCTGAATCTGGACGCCAGTTCCGACTTACATACAGATTCAACTTAAGAACAAACCTACAGTCCCTATCTTGTACGTAACCCGGGGACTGCCTGTATTTTCTAAAAAAATGACTTGAGTAAAAGTCAAAGTTTCATAAAAATAAATTACTTGAGTAAAGTACAAATACTGAAAAAATGTACTTGTGTAGTGTAACGAAGTATTTCTACTTAGTTACTCTCCACCTCTGCCTAAATACAGAAGCCTTTGGAACCCCATAAGATTGGGTCCCTAATCCATGAGCTATTGGAACTGATTTACAAAACTTTTCTTAAGTATTACATGAATATATTGTTTCATACTATAGAATCAGAATTTAATCCCTATTCCATGATGAGATATCTTTGAGCTATAATATATCTCAATAAAAAACTATCTTTAAGTTTTTTCCTCAAAAAGCATTTTGTCAAAAAAAAATCCAATTTAAATAAAAATTTTGATTTTTTTATATATATTTTTGAATCACTGATTTTTATCCACCCTTGCCCCAAGGTAAGTGGTGCAGGCTTCCTGTGCAATGTGGGTTACATGTACTTTTCTTTATTTGTTCTTAAAGCCTGACTAGGTTAGGGAATGTGTAATGAGATACTGAGCCTTTCACCTTTAGTTCATCATGTGTTTAAAATCCAGGCCTGACCTAGTGGCCATAAATTATTTCCCTGGGATGGGTATTTTATGGCTTATTATTTTGGTGAAAGATGATCTAGAAATACCTAAAACTAACAAACACCTTAGAGACTAACAAAAATATTAATATCATGAACTTTCATGGGCAAAAAACCCACTTCAAGAGATGAGCCAGTGAACTTAAAGAGTGTGTCCTGAACCCATTTTAATGGAGTCTCCAGGGCTAGCATTAGACTTACTGGGCTCTGGGGTCAAAGCCAAAGCCGAAGCCCTACTTACCACCCAGGGCTAAAGGGGTGTGGCCCTCTGTGATGATCAGGTTACAGGCCTCCTACCTAGATCTAAAGCCCTTCAGCTTCAGCTTTGCCATCCCCTCTGCCCCCGCTGGGGCAGCAGAGCTCAGGCTTCTAACCCCCCTCCTAGGACCATGTACTAAATGTATTAATTTTCATTGTCAGGAATCATAGTTCAGTAAAATTTCAGAACTCCTGTTCTATGGAATTGTGGTTCTGTCAACATTACTGTCACAATCTCAATTGACAATATTAGCGGAGAGGGATTGACAGGCTACAAAGACTGATCTATATCCTTATTCCTAGAGAGAGCCCTTCCAAGATAGCACTAAGGTCCATTGGCAGGGAGCTGTGCTGAAGCTTATGTTACAGATTAGCTTGGCCATAAGTCTGTTCCCATTGAATTCCGCTGGATTTTTGCATTGACTTCACTCAAAATAGAGTTAGCATATAAAGGCTATTTTAGCTTCTAGGACTGGCAGACTGCATGATGCTTTCAGAGGCCCAACCTTCCCAACTGAGGTCATATAGTACAGTCTCTTTCATGAGCACTAACTTTATTTTAAAGCACAAATCCAACATTTAAAAAATAAAATTATACTTGAAAACTTGTATACTTCATCTGCAGTATGCTGTAGGAAGTCAGGATTTCTAACTATCCTTAAGGAGATTATTGTCCCTTCAATATAGTTATTGCATTAATTAATTTCATGTTAACACCGCCTCGGGCAGCATGCTCTGAAAATGTATTTAAAAGATATCTTGTCAGAAAGGTATGTTTAAAGGCATTTTCACAACATTTCATACGAAGGACTTTAATGTACCAGTTATTTGGTAAAATTATACAATAAGTCCCAGATAAAGTTACTAAAAACCCACATCATTATATAATAGTTAATAGAAACTACTCCATGTTATTAAATATGTATTTGATTTATGTTGTAATTTAGTTTTTTTTAGGTCTGTCTTTGGAATTCTGCCACTATTAGTAGTTCTGTTGCCAGTAAATTCATCTACTTGTGTGATGGAAAATACAGCTGTAATACGAGAAAAGTATGAGAATGTCCTAAGCGAAGATATTAATTCTCTGGTAGGTAGTCATAATCTTTTGTTTTACATTTAAAAAAAAAAGTCAAAGTTGTCTTTTTGTGAATAGTTTTAAGGTTCATTCATGCTAAATGTCACATTTAAAGGCACATGTTAAAATAGATGTGCTGATCTTTGTTATTTTGTTTTTTTGTTAGAGGAAATACCAGTGTAGCCTCTAATTTTACACTCACAACAAGCTGTAATAGTAGTTATTTCCAAGTACAAATGATCCAGAGATGATTATGCTCTTGCATCAGACAGTTAGAGAATATAAAACATTTCGATATAGATTGTATAATATCTAATCCCACTGCAAAGCACTTAGGGTATGTCTACACTACCCTGCTAGTTCAAACTAGCGGGGTAATGTAGGCATACCGCACTTGCAAATGAAGCCCGGGATTTGAATTTCCCGGGCTTCATTTGCATAAGCGGGGAGCCGCCATTTTTAAAACCCCGCTGGTTCGAACCCCATGCAGCGCGGCTAAAATGGCGGCTCCCCGCTTATGCAAATGAAGCCCAGGAAATTCAAATCCCGGGCTTCATTTGCAAGTGTGGTATGCCTACATTACCCCGCTAGTTCGAACTAGGAGGGTAGTGTAGACATACCCTTATGTAGTAGTTGTTTGTAAATACTATTAAATTTGAGCAAGAGCTACATCATCTTACCCATAATTTGCATCTTTTTATAACTTTGCCTTAAGTTTTATGCCCATTGTTGAACATATGCACAAAACTAGCCCTCAGTCTTTATCTCTACCTCTCACTGCTGCCAGTGATTCTGTTTTGGAAATAATCATCATATTTGAAATAGGGAACTGAATGTGTAGCCAAGTACACGGTTAACTGATGACCTGGGTTCATCAGTTAACCCTCTCCTGCTGTTTCTATATCAGAGGCAGGAGGGGGACAGGGAAGGAGAGGAGCCAATGCTCATGGGGAGCTGGCTTTTAAGCTGGTTCACCGTGCCTGCTGGCTTCCATGGAGCTGCCTCCCCTCTACCTCGTGCTGCTGCCTCCTATAGGAGGGAGAAGGTATGAACACTGGCTCCCGCAGAACTGCCTGCCCCCTGCACTGCTGCCTCTGATACAGAGGCAGCAGCGTGGGGTAGGTGTGAGAGATACGGGGGCACTGGCTCCCACCTCCCCTTCCCGTGCATGTAAACGTGTACCCGCTGAAAATTTCAGCAGATACATATTTACACAAATAAATGCATTTCAACATCCCTAATTTGAAAGCCAGGTGAAAGGCCAGTTAAGGGGAAGGCTGACATACTCAGACCATTAGTCTAGTATTTTACTGTATACCTCTGAGGTGTGAGAGATACGGGGGCACTGGCTCCCACCTCCCCTTCCCCTGCATGTAAACGTGTACCCGCTGAAAATTTCAGCAGATACATATTTACACAAATAAATGCATTTCAACATCCCTAATTTGAAAGCCAGGTGAAAGGCCAGTTAAGGGGAAGGCTGACATACTCAGACCATTAGTCTAGTATTTTACTGTATACCTCTGTGCTAGTATTTTAAATGGAATGTTTGAGTCAACAACTCTCCACATCATCCAAAATAGGAGCTTAATGAATAAATCAGTCTTTTTTCCATTTTAATGCTCATCCTTCCTCATTGTTAGAATTCCATAGGAAACTAGAAAAGAATCAAAGAATTTGCTATTTAACCTTTATTTAAGAACTGTGCATTTAGTGTTCATGAAAGATATGGGATTATGAATATTGAAATCTGAAGACCTCACAGAATATGGTTAGCACAAGCACCAATTGTGCAGATTCCTTCATTTTCCAGACAATATGTGTTCCCTTAGCTTTGGAGAAGTGAGTTCAGTGTTCGCGTCTAATCAGGACTTGTCTGCCTGCCTAGATTACTAACAGAAGAATTGTTAGTAATACTGTATTAGTGGTGAAAAGGGTCTACTATCCTCTTGTCTAAGATCCCATAGTGATAGCAAATAACTTTCAGTTATTACAAAAACTGTGCCCTGTTTGAACCTGCAGTCTAGAAGCAAAAGTATAGTCATCATAATTAACAGCTCTGATAAAATACCGCGCTGCTGCAGTTTGCATGTAAAGAAATACTACTTTCGTTTTAGTTACTAATTTCTGTCTACTCTGACTCAGAGCAAGATATGTAAGGATAAGCTCCAGGCTAAATATGATCTAGGTTTCTGTAAATGCAGTGGTTCAGACAGCAAAAATATTAAATAAAAACGTTGTCAGTAAGTAATGTCAGAATACACAGAGAATAACAATGATTTCTCCCTACACTATGCTGTGTATTTCTTACATTCTCAGGAACCAAGATTCCCATGATTATTTTCCTCTAAATTATGGGTGAGTTTAAAAGAGTGACAAGAGTAAAATATTTTTATTAAAGATTATGTGTGACAGTGCTCATTGTGATTTTTCTTCATGTCTGATGATTAGAAACATTAACAACAGGCAACTAGTGGGTTATATCTGAAGCCTAGCACAGATACAAAATTGTATCTGCATCCAGTTCCCAAAATGATCTGCAGATATCAGCAGATTTGCAGAATTCTAGTTGTATCCTGGCACTCTTGCAATCTGTAGACATTTTGTCATGAACTCCAGTGGGGACAGAGCTTCACCCACTCCCCTTTTATCCCACCCCGAGACCTAGCTACCTATCAGAGTGATTGCTGTCAAGCTATTTGAGAGGTCAGTTGGACCTGTTAAGTGCTTCTTGTGTCTGGAAAGCAATTTCAAGTACTTCAGCAAACAAAGCTGTTTTATGCTCTCTTAATTGTTTTATTTCTTTGAATATTTGACTCTTTAGGACTTCACTAGCTCTGTGCTTAATGAATCTGCTGTTTCCAAAGTTAAAGTCAGTTTTGTTCAGGCATGCTGCTGAAACAATGTCAAAGTTAGACAAAAATACAAAGGGAAACCGAAAGGATAGGAATAACTAAAACTTTCTCTTTTTTTTTAAACATAGGATGACATAATATTGATATAAATCAGGGGTGTAAGCGACTAATTTTGCTTATTGGATTGTTGACTAGACAAGCTTATTGGATAGTCAACTAATTCATCAACTAGTTGCTGCTGCCCCCATACTGCCACTATCAGAGACAACAAAGGAGGGAGCAGGAGCTGAGGAGCTGCTTAAAAGACCGTTCCCCCTAGCACCTTCTCTATGGGGGGTAGAGGAAGTGGAGGATAGCAGGGACCGAGCTCAAGTGGGAATTACCTGATTCCTGGTTCGTGCCCAGTCCCAGAAGCTGCACTTCTGCTTTGTAAATGTATTAAGAGCCTGCTGGCCAGGAGCTAACCCTGCTGCAGCTCCTCTGCTTATTGATTAATCGACTAGTTGATGGAAAATCCATTGACTAGTCGATTTGTTGATTAAACTAAATTTAACTCCCTAGTATGAATTAACCCATTTTCTCTGCAAGGTACAGAGAGACTTTTAAGAAAAGGTTGGAAAGAAGAGAAGGAGAAAATGTGTTAAAGTTAGAAGTTACTACAAGCATCGGTGTGACAAAGAAAGGTATAGAACAAGAAAACAAAGGGAATAAACAGTGATGGAGCAAAGGGGCAAGACTTACAGCTGAAGACATTTAGGGGGTTTAGGCACAACTTCTATTCATATTTTTAGAAGATGCTTTGGATCAACCTATGTATATTTCCTAAGGAGATAAATTTTAAACAAAAACAAAATAAAAATCACTGTTAAGAATCAAGTAATTAAGTAGAATCTGTAGTTTCAAAATTATAAATAGCTATCCTGGTAAACTACAGCTAAATTATTTCCTTCTTTGCTTACTTGCAAAGAAATAAAACAGTAAACTCTATGTCAACTGTTATTCTTGGTGCCATCCCAAAAAGCAGTGTATGGAGTTAATCTCACCAAATGTTGAAAGACAAATCAAGCCAGCCTGATTAGAACCTCATTATATTATTTAACATATGATCTATTATAGGAAAATATGTCTGGAAAATTACGTGACCGGTGCTGCAGGAATAAAAGACGTGAAAACCCTAGTGTGTTTTTCTGCAATGATACTCAGGTAAAAGACAACTTCTTCTTTGACTGCTTGCTCGTGTCTATTGCAATGCAAGTGTTTAGACACCCTGAGCACAACCATCAGAAAATATTAACTCAATGGCAAGGCCAGCCCAAGCCATTTTGGCGCCTTGGGTGGGCGGTGGTGCCCCAGGCACACGGCGCATGCGCAAGCCTGCCCCTTGGGGCGCACGGGCCTGCCTCCGGGCACACAGCACATGCGCGAGCCTGCCCCCGGGGCCCGCGGGCCTGCCTCCAGGCACACACTGCATGTGTGAGCCTGCCCCCGGGGCACATGGGCGGGTGCACGGCACATGCCCAGGGCCGCCTGGGTGGGCCGCGCCTGGCCATGCAGGGCCCTGCGGCCGCGGAGGGAAGGCACTGCGGGGGTTAACGCGGCCTCCACCCCGGGCAGCCATTGCAGCCCGCCAGGAGCCAGGCACGCAGTGCCTGATGGAAGCTATAAGGCACCATGCGCCCCTTACAGCTGCCATCAGGCGCCCCCCATCGGTTGGTGCCCCAGGCAGCTGCCCGGCTCTCCCACCCCTTAGTCCAGCCCTGCTCAATGGTGTAATGGGGTGGGTCACAGATGACCCCTCAGGGATGACTCCTGGGTTGCTGACAAGGCCACTGCCCCTCGCCTTCCCGCTCTCTGGGGCTCCTCACTGCCCGGTCCTCAGCCAAGGCATGGAGCTGAGATCCCTGCCCCCACCAAGAAGCAGTACAGACTCTAAACCTCTTTAGATTCAAGGAGAATGCAGTTCAGGACCCAGCTTCCTGGGATAGCACTTCTCAGATAGGATCAACCCCCAAAGAATTCGATAAGGGTAAGCCACCTTTAACAATGAAAGGGGGAATATACACACTGGCTGCCCTCCCTCCACCCCCAGGTAATAATTATTTACACTGGGTTTGATAGAAAATAGAAAATGATTTTATTAAGTAGAAACAGAAGGATTTAAGTGATAATAAGGGAGAACAGGCAGAGCAAAATAGGTTACACATAAAAAGAAACAAAACCACTTGGCTAATTCTACACTGAAACCTCAGTACAAATTTAATCAAACTCACCCTAAAACCTCTTCTCCAGCTGCCCCTGGCATTTCAGAAAAATTTGCTCAAAACTTCAGAAAAATTATAGTATAGATCAGGAGTGGGCAAGAGGCTGCCAGCGGGCTGGATCCAGCCACCTTGCCAAAACCCTTAGGAAGAGAGAAGCTCATGCTTTAAAAAGCATCTGCTCTCAATTCTGGACTGCTAGACAGGGAGGAGGAAGACTTTGCACGCTGCTCCCACCCCAGCAAAATTTCTCAGATCCCATTGACTAATTTCTGGCCAATGGGAGCTGAGAAATTTTGCCCCTAGAATTCAAAGCTTCCCCTTTGCTCCCCAGCATCCAGAGCAATTAGCAGCCCGTGGCTGAGCTGCTATGTAGAAAGGGTGCCAGCACGGTGGCCATAGGCCGGATCCAATGGCCTGGTGGGCTGAATCCAGCTCGCTAGCCACCTCTTGCCCACCCCGGCTTAGGGGAAGCTCATGTATGGGAGAACTGCATGAACTACAGGGACTTCAAGCCCTGTATCAATAACGACCGGGATGCTAGGTTGAAATCCATTTTAACAGAAGCAGCATCAGACCTCCATTGGAGCCAGGTCATTCAGACTCAGCACCAAGCATGTTGGTGTCAATGAGGAGCACTCCTGCAACTGTCTGGGCACCTGAGCACCATTTACTATCCCTGATGCTGAGGGGGGAAAAAACCCACCAGTCAATAGAGGACGTTCTCCATCCTCTAGGATGGCCACACATAAAGACCAGAGCAGAGTGCAACCCACATTGGGATACTCCCACAGCCCTTGGTACTGTCTAAAAGGAAGCTGGCCATTGTGATCCAGGTCCAATTAGGAACATAGGGGTTCCTCAGATATGTTCCATTACATATCTGAGGAACCTCCTATGTCCCTGAAAAATCTAAATGGGAATTGCACTACCAATTTGCAATTCTCCTGTTTGGCCTGCCAACTACCCTGCACATTTTTACAAAGTGCATGGCAGTAGCAACAGCTTTCTTGAGGAGATAAGGGGTGCAGCTCAATGTACATCTGGTCAGAGGCCAAATGAGGACTGAGAAAGACAGTGTACTCTGCCACCATTTGGATTTGATCTTACCGTTCCCTCCCCTGGTTCTTAACTCATTCTCCTGGTGGCAGAACCCACTGGCAGTTTGCAAGGGCATAACTTTCTGTGGCCCCATCCATCACTATCCCTGGTCACAGCCACCTCACCACTGGGCTGGGGAACATACTTGTGTCTCCTCAGAATTCAAGGCCTTGAATCTAGGACCAGTTCTTTCTGCACATCAAAGTCAGAGAGTTCAGGGCAGTTGTCCTGGTTTGTCAGATGTTCCTGCCTCATGTTACAAGCAAAAATGTGCCCCAGCCATATTCTACATCAGCAGGCAGGGAGGAGCTCACTCTTCCCCTCTGTGTTGGGAGGTAGTTTAGTGGTGGGATTTTTGTATAAAACTTACTTCACTCAGAGGACTTCTGTCCACCAAGAGCACAAAATGAGATAGTAGATCATTTCAGCTGATCCTTCCCCAATCACCATGAGTGGATCCTATGCCTACATGTAGTGAAGGTTGTTTTCCAGCAGTGAAGGACTCCCCAGATCCGTTTGTTACAAAGCACAAGAGGAAATGTCACCAATTCTGCTCCCTTTTGGGTCTCAGTCTCAGGTCACTTTGCTTTTCTACTTCCATGGATATGTCACCTGTTCTGTGCATGTCCTCCTGTTCACTCGTGTACAAGATCATGTTGAAGAACAAATGGGACCAACTGTGATTCATTCTGATAGCTCCGAGTTGGTCCTGCCAACACTGGTACACCCTTCTGCTGGTCCTCTCAGTGGTGTCATCAAAACCATTTCTTCTACAAACAGACCTGATCTCTCAGAACTATGATCATCTGCTCCACCCAGACCTTAAGTCCCTCTGACAGCCTGGAAGCTCCATGGCTAAATCCTACAGAACTTGTTTGCTCAGAGAAGATGCTTCAGGTTCTACTAGGAAGCAGAAAGTCTTTCATCAGGGACATTCTGGCAGAATGGAAGTATTTCATTATCTGGTCTTCCCAAAAGCATTTATTGGCTATGTGCTTCTTGCTACTTTTTGTTCTAGAGTACTTGCTGCACTTAAAACAGCAGTCAATTAGGGTACGTCTAAACTACATGGCTCCGTCGACGGAGCCATGTAGTTTAGACGTACCCTAATTGACTGCTGTTTTAAGTGCAGCAAGTACTCTAGAACAAAAAGTAGCAAGAAGCACATAGCCAATAAATGCTTTTGGGAAGACCAGATAATGAAATACTTCCATTCTGCCAGAATGTCCCTGATGAAAGACTTTCTGCTTCCTAGTAGAACCTGAAGCATCTTCTCTGAGCAAACAAGTTCTGTAGGATTTAGCCATGGAGCTTCCAGGCTGTCAGAGGGACTTAAGGTCTGGGTGGAGCAGATGATCATAGTTCTGAGAGATCAGGTCTGTTTGTAGAAGAAATGGTTTTGATGACACCACTGAGAGGACCAGCAGAAGGGCTCAGCGCGGCAGCCATGTAAATTTAAATGAAGCCGCGATCATTTAAATCGCGGCTTCATTTGACTTTGACTATGTGTCTAATCTACATGCCTCTGACGACAGAGGCGTGTAGTCTAGACACATCCTTAAAGTTCTATTGTAGCACTGATTCAAGTTCACCTGGCAGCAATCTCTGCTTTTCACCCTTGGTTGAATGACTGATTCATCATTTGCAAGCAAAAAACTTTTCTAATCATTTCCTTAAGGGCTGAGAGAGGTTATACTCTCAAGAGTGACAGTCGCCCGCCCTCTACCCTTGGGACCTCAACCTTGTCTTATCACCTGAAGCCACTGACAACTTGCTTATTACCGTATTACCTCTCCTGGAAGAAAACTTTCTACATAGCAGGACTAATGTTGCAATAAGTTATGCAACTTCAGCTACATAACAATTGCGTAGCTGAAGTTGATATAGCTTAACTAGGCTTTTGGTGTGGTCTACACAGCAGGAAGTACAAGGAAGAACATTCTTCCTCCGACTTTCCTACTCATAAAATGACGGTTAGAGGAGTAAGACGTTTTCTAGCTCAAAATTATTTTGAAATAAAGGCTTGTAGTGTAGACGCGCATTTTGTTATTCCAAATAACTCTATTATGTAGATGTACCTTAAGTGGCTATTACTTCCACCAGAAGAGATTCAGAGATCCATGCCCTGACTTTGGAGTGACTGTGCACTGTGTTCTTTAAGGCTAAGGTGTAGTTGTGTCCTCACCAGCTTTACTTCCAAAGGGTGGTCTCTGAGTTCCATAGTAATCAAGTTATCGTCCTACTGGTTTTCTATCCGAAACCACATATGAACAAGGAAGAGCAAAGGCTTCACTCCGTAGATCAGGGATAGGCAACCTAAAGCCCGGAGGCCAGATGTGGCCCCCAGCTTGCCTGGATCTGGCCCTCAAGGTTCAGGGTTCCCCCTTCCCAAAATTTAGGAGCTCATGCTGGTGCTTCAGCCCTCCCCTTCCCCCCCCCCCCCACCTCTTTGGGGCTGAAGCACACAAGATCTACTAGCCAGGGCTCCCTAGGCTCTAGTGCACAAGGGGAATGTGCGGAGTAACTTTTTCAGTTCTCAGTTGGGATCACGTCAATGAGAGGGCTTTTTTTTGGTTTGTGGTTTTTTTGGTTTGCCTTAGACATTTGGCATGCACAGTCTTTCTACATAGAAAGGACTGCACAGTTTAGGAAATCCATCCTGCTGTTTGTAGATTACAGCCAAGATGAAAAGTTTCCCTTCTCAGCTCAGATAATTCAATCATGGATCATGTCACGTATTTGCATGTGTTACAAACCAGCCACTGTTCCCACCCTAATCATTCATTCAGCAAGGACACAAGTGTCTTCAGCAGTACTTTTAGCACAGATCCCCATTCAGAACATTTGTAGCCCAGCAACTTTGATATTGGTTCTCATTATGCTCTCACTCAGCAGGTTAGGGATGATGCCAGAATCTCTCAAAAAAGAAAAAAAAATATTTACTACCTTTGTGTAACTGTTCAAGATGTTGGCACATGTTCATTCCAAGCCTACCCTCCTACTCCACTTATCTGAGTTGCTGGAAAGAAGGGATAGGGGGAGGAGGGCTGTCACTGTCCTATATACAAATGCTATTGACACATGGTACCAGAGGGTAGTTGTCAAAATCACAGAATCACTTTTAAAAATTTGATACATTTGTTTGCTCTAGATAAGGGCAAAACCCACCATTGTCAGTTGTGATTGCAGACTGAATTGAACACATCTAGTAATACACTACAAGGGTCTGAAAATGTAGTCAGGTTAATCACATGATATACTGGAAGCATGCAGCATACTAGTTTCTCAAAAAATTAATGCCTACTCAACAGCTTTGACTTTAAGGGTACGTCTAGACTACATGCCTCTGTCGCCAGAGGCATGTAGATTAGGCTACCAGACATAGGAAAATGAAGCGGCGATGTAAATAATCGCCGCTTCATTTAAATTTACATGGCTGCCGCGCTGAGCCGACAAACAGCTGATCAGCTGTTTGTCGGCTCAGCGCGGCAGCCATGTAAATTTAAATGAAGCGGCGATTATTTACATCGCCGCTTCATTTTCCTATGTCTGGTAGCCTAATCTACATGCCTCTGGCGACAGAGGCATGTAGTCTAGACGTACCCTAAGATAGCCAACAATGATATAAAATCTAAGGGCATTCAAACTCAAGACATCTTTTCTTTGTTTCTTTTTTCATAGGAAATAAGGTCATTACGGAACATGGCATGTGACTTGCTTAAATTCTTTTATAAACAAAAGATCAATGAAGAGTTCAGATGGCGAACTGCTCATGTTTCGTGTATGACATTAGACATTCTACACTGCAAATGTGATAAATGGAGCAAAAGGAAAGAGGTAAGTTGTTGTGGGAACCTACAAACTATCTTGCAGATTCTGTTAATAAAAAGAAGTACATTGTTATCTAATAAGGCTCTTCAGAATAAGGGATTACTACCATCTGCCAACATGAAACAACCACCGTTTTTTTTTTTTTTTTTGCTCAACAAAAAATCCTTGGTGTTCCCCATACAAAAAATTATTGTTTGGTGTTCCTCGACCTAAAAAAGTTTAAGAAACACTTCCATACAGTATATTCCTTGATATGGAGTTTAAGGCTGTTATGTAAAGCTCATGCATGTCTATGGATAGGTTCCCATTGACTCCAATTGGCATTGCATCGACCACTTAACAGTTAGCTCACTAGAGCAGCTTTGTAGATGAGAGCAGACTTATTGTTTTTTCCCTCTTCAAATAAAATATAGCTTTGTTATTATTTGCATAGTTTGTATGAATTAATACGTTTATTGCCTTATCAAAATACAATTGAGGAAAACATGGCCAGTAAGCTAGTCTTCATGAATTAGACTGTGCATCAAGTGCAGCCTGATTCTCTACTGATCCCTGGTTTTTGCACACTAAAAGCAAAGATAGTTTTACTTTCATTTTTAAACTGAATATTTTGGGGACAGCTTATATTAATATCAATAGGAATTTCAGGCATTCAGTTCCCCTTGCAGCAATTAGAGAATGCACTTCAAAGCTTATATACTAATCAGTCATATTATATGACTTTTTAGAGAAAAACAACATTTGATGGTAATCACTCAAGGTACGACTAGAATACGGGGGGGTTTCAGAATAAAACTTTACCACATCCAGGGAACGTGTTTACTTTTTCACTTTTTTTTGCAGAAGAGCAAACAAGCTCTTCAGGACGCCTCTGTATATTCCTCATTTCACAAGGAAGAAGGGGGCTTTCAAAAGAGGGTTTTTTCCCTAAATTTGGCCCCGTTTAGATGGGCCAAATTTCGAAAAAGCCTCTTCCGACAAAAGTATCGGAAAAAGATACTCAAAATGTGGAGTGCATTTTATGTATCTTTTTCTGATAGATTCTCGCAGTCTAGATGTACTCTCTGATAATATTGTTGTATCATAATTTTTCAATTTCATCCTGTAATAGTTATTGGATTTTTACATGCGTTAAATAACCAAGGATTAGGACAGATTAGTACTTACATATGAAAACTTCAAAGCACCCTGGGTGCTACCAGAAGTTGGCAGTTCAGTAGCTGACATACTTCTTTCCAAGTCAAGACTGAGTTCTCTGGTTGTGTGTCTGGGTGTTCTGGCTCACTTAATTAAAAGATAGAAAATAAAAGATAGGAATAAATGGTGAGTTTTCAGAATGGAGAGAGGTAACTAGTGGTGTCCCACAGGAGTCAGTACTGGTACCAGACCTATTCAACATATTCGTAAATTATCTGGAGAACAGGGTAAAGAGTGAGATGGCAAAGTTTGCAGATAATACTAAACTGCTCAAGATAGTTAAGTCCAAAGCAGACTGTGAGGAGTTTCAAAAGGATCTCACAAAACTAGGTGACTGGAAGATGAATTTTAATGTTGATAAAGACAAAATAATATATATTGGAAAACATAATCCCAATTACATGTATAATATGGTGGGGACTATTTTATTGCTTCTATCTAAATCCATAGCACACCCACATCTTGAATTACTCCATGCAGATATGGTCACCTCATCTCAAAACAGATATCTTGGCACTGGAAAAAGTTTAGAAAAAGGCAACAAAACTCATTACGGGTATGGAAAGGCTGCCATATAAAGGAGAGAGTAAAATGAGTGGGACTTTTCAGCTTGGAAAAGAAATGACTAAGAGGGGTTATGATATACGTTTATAAAATTATGACTGGTATGGAGAAAGTAAATAACAGAACTAGGGGTCACCAAATGAAATTAATAGTTACCAGGTTTTAAAAAAAGGAAGTATTTCTTCATACAATGCACAGTCAACTTGTGGAACTCCTTGCCAGAGGATGTTGTGAAGACCAAGACTTTTCACAGGGTTCAAAAAAGTACTATATAAATTCATGGAAGAAAGGTCCATCAACAGCTATTAGGAGGATAGGCAGGAATGGTGTCCCTAACCTGTTTGTCAGAAACTGGGAATGGACAATAGTGGATCACTTGACAATTACCTGTTCTGTTCATTCTCTGTGAGACACCTAGCATTGGCCATTGTTGAAAAGCAGGACTTTGGTCTGACCTAGTATAGCTGTTCTTATGTAGGATAGCTACATTTATTGGTAGTTTTAAAGTATTTCTATGCAGAAAGGAACAAAAGTTCATCTCAGTTAACAATTTAAAATATTTTTTACAGATTTGCACAGAGGTTACACAAACCAGGAAAGACACACAAGGGACACAAAACTCCAGGAAAAAATGTTGCCAAGAATTATGTGAACTAAAGGAAACTATATCTAGCCTTAGATCCTGCTGGAATAAATTTGAAAAAGAAATTGCTAGGTAAAAAAAATTAAGATACAGTCCTGTCTTTTCAAAGTGACATTGCTAGACACCTTTGCACTTCACATGCATTCTTCAGGTATCTTTGTCTGCTTACATACATAATTTTTGCAAAAGTCCCGATGAGAAGAACCTATACCTTGTTTCAGGGGACAGAGCCAATGGAGACCAACGAATTGGACTGCAGAAGTCAAAGAAGTGGAACAACACAGTTGGAAGCAAAAAACCAATAGAATGCTATAGCCCCATCTTTATGCCCTGAAAAGTACTTAGACTCTAGCTATCTACAAAATTACTTGGTCATATTTTCTGAGTAGCTTTATATTACTTTAAGATGAAAAGAAACTTGTTAGGTGCCTAGTGTGATAAATAATCTTGGAAATGGCAAAGAAAGCAAAATGTCAAATTATGATGTTTTGTATAGCTACATCATAGATCTAAACAGGTATGGTAACTAAGAATGGCTCCTGAGCCAGTTCTGTTGATGCAGTAATAGTTGAAATACTAGTCTCTGATGGGAACTGCAAGCTACTTTTAAGGCCAAAAAAATGAAACCAGATCTGTGCCATTGAAGGAGAAGGGAATAAATTATCTTAAGCATGTTAAGGAGAGGTATCCATTTTGCAGGGATACAGTACAGAGGTTACTGAAGTAGCTAGAGGCAAGACAGAATAAGGTTTATGGAATGGAGAAAAGGGTAGCTCCTGAACGCAGGCAAGATTGGCTGAGTGGAGAAAATACCAGTTTTGTGGATTTAGTCATCACATTTAGGTGCAGGATTATTTGAAACAGCTTACATTAATTTTGATGACTTTTTATGTATATATTTTACATAGTGTATTTAATATAAGACAGACATGACTTAAGATATGAATATTTTCAGAGAATAATATATTGGCATTTTACCAATTAAATGTTTATATTTAATTTTGATGAATGTATAAATATTTATTAATTGCTTATACCTCACAATTTCTTACTTATATATTACTCCTCCTTTTGTAACAAAACCCACTTGTAATATATCTAAAAAAATGGTGTCTCTTTTGGTATAATTGCTTCTGTTCTTGTTTTTGGCATATGGAAACATCATTGACGCAGATGGGATAATGTCACCTTTAGTTAAGGTAACTGACTGTCACGTGCTGTACTCACTGCTGGGTGGCACCTCTTTCAAGCAATTAGATCTACATGGTTCACCACCTCTTTTCTTCCCTTGCATTATTGTTACTCTCTTCCCACAGATGGAGTTTTAGCATAGCCACTTTGTGACTCAGGCCAAGCAGTGAAAGGGAGTCTTTCAACATCTCTGTGCCCAAGCAGTGTGAGGCAGGCCTCATGTTTGCGCCCCTATGTCATCCTATAGTGATTCAGGCAGTCTTCCTATTCACTGCCTCAAGCAACACTACTCTGCAATGGATATGAGGGGAACCTTGCCCTGCCCTGTGTGCTGAATTCAAGCAAGCAGTTAAGTCTGATTGGGCTCATCTGACCTAATTCAGTTTCTTCCAGGCTGATATGAGGAGCAACCCCATCACATTCTTCCCATGATACGATCCTGTTTTCAGTAGTTTTGTAACCTTTTCACGCTATTCAGGCTGAAATTTGCCATGCCAGGTGTCTACTTCAGACTAATATTGCTGCAGGTTTAATACATATAAGAGTAAGTACTTTTTCACATAATGTACAATTAACCCGTGGAACTCTCTGACATAGGATGTGATAACTAAAAGTATAACTTGGTTCAAAAAAGAACTAAATACATTCATGGAGGACAGGTCCATCAATGACTAGTAAGCCAAATTGGTCAGGGATATTAACCCTATGTTCCGGGCAGTCCTAATATGCTGCCAGAAGCTGGGAGGGGAAGACAGAGTGTATCACTCCAGCTGTCCTGTTCTGTACACTCCCCTGGAAGCTCTGGTAATAGCTACTGTCAGAGACAGAATATTGGATGGATCATTGTTCTGACCCAGCATAGCAGCTCTTATTTTCTTAAGGGCTTGAAATTTGGCAACCCTGTCAGGGTTATGCCTTTTGAAGTTAAGCCTAAAAACTCCGCAGTTTACGTACCTTCCTTAGAAACTTAGCAGCTACATTCTCAGAAGATTCAATCTGCACTAAGCACACTCCAGCCCAGGAAGGCAGAGACTGAGCATGGCATGATTAATTCAGTCTTATGCACATGCACTATGATGCAGTCTTTAATTACATTGTTACTCATTTTTTCCACTGGACCCTGCCTCATTCATTTCTAGAGCACTATTAATTTTGTGCATAGAATCAGTATTCTGAAATGAAGAGGCTGTTGTCTATAGGGCCCTGCCTCATTTGTTGCAGATTTGGAAGGTATGTAGTAAAGGCGGGTGACTGTGAAAAGATGGTCTTAATGGCAATGGAAGTTGAATGGCATCCTGGAGAACTGGATTCTATCCCTGTTGTGGGGAAGTGTATCTTTAGGAGGGTTTGGCAAGAGCTCATTGGAACCAGTCGTGTTATGCAGACGCTCATTGCATTGCTAGTGAGTTAGAAATCAGACAGTGAATGAAATGGAATACTGTCAGATTTCTTGGCTCAGAGTGGTTACTGAACATCACACCTAAGGACAACGCTAAGTACTCTGGCTACGTTTAGACTGCAGGCTTCTATCGGAAGAAATATTTCCGGAAGAGATCTTCCAGAAAAACTTCTTTCAAAAGACAGCGTCTACACAGCAAAAGCGCATTGAAAAAGCGATCTGCTTTTTCAAAAGATAGCATCCATATTGATTGGATGCTATCTTGCATTTAAGTTGTGATTACTATGGACGGAGTGGCCACGAGGGCACTTGTGCTTTTTCCTGGAGGCCTCTTCTTTCAAAAAAACCCCTCTTGTCCGTCCACACACGCCTTTTTCTGAAAGAGCTCTTTCAGAAAAAGCCTTCTTCCTCATAGAAAGAGGTTTACTGTTGTTGGGAAAAAAACCTGCATTATTTTGCCTGTCAAAAGAACACAATTGCAGTGTGGACATAATTGTAGTTTTTCCAGAAAAACTGCCGTTTTTTCAGAAAATTCTGCAGTGTAGTCAAACCCTCTGAAAAACTAGACCTGTGTCTCCCAAAATTGGAACATCAAAATAGTGGACTTTTGACATTTTAGCCTTAAGTTATTCATGGAGCTATAAAGTAGGTCTTCAATACTATTACCAAACTAGCCAATTAGCCTGTCATAAGACAGGATTTTCAGGTCTCTCCTCCACATCGGTCTTCTCTCCTGAGCCTCCGGTCTCTCGTTCTGTGTCTCTTTCTCTTTCTCTCAGTTCTCCTCTGCCTCTCTCTCCATCCTTCTCTTTCTCTTCTCCCTCTCCTGCCTCTCTCTGCTCTACTCTGTCTCCGTCGGGGACAAGCATCACAAGCGGTCGTTTGGGCCCACGCTCCCCAAACGGCTGCTTGTGCCACTTGGTCCTACGCAGAGGCCTGGCTGAGCGGCGCAGAAGTCAGCCGAGCGCCATGGCAGGAGGCAACAGTGCCGCCCAGAGGGAACAGCCAGCGTTACAGAGTCTCAGACATTGGGCTACTATATATACGATGATACAGAGGAGATCTGAAGATACTATTGCGTCTGAAGCACTCATTTCACCAGAAGAGCACGATAGAAATGTCCCTGAAGAAGTGAATAATGTTGTATTCAGCACAGGATTGGGATGGTGGCACTAAAATAAAGTCTGGGGCTACATTTTGAAATAGGTGGATAAGCAGGGCTCGACAAATAATACAATCTATTTGCCTGTGGCGAGTAGATTGTAACCCGGAAGAGCCGGGTTTGGGCGATCTGCGCATGCACAGAACTATCTGCACATGCGCAGATCACCGGACAGATCACATGTGCTATCTGCACATGCGCAGTTCAGCGAGCCCTGTGAATAAGTATAATAAATACTGAACTACTCGTTCATTGAAGAGCATGGGTCCCATGAGGAAAATAGCATGTGATCATGTAATTTAAACAAGTATGATGCATACGCATGCAGAATTGCAAATACACATTCCACAATTATTTAACTTTTGAGTGCTTGCCTTCAGAATCTTAACTTTCCTTTAATGTAGATTTTGTGAGCGTAACTTATGTAATAAAAATAACACTACAAACTCACATTTAAAAATGATACAGGGCATAGAATGGGACTAAGAGCTGGCTTCCCTGAAACAGCATGAGCCTTCATTAATTTACAGCTTTGGATATCATTCTAATTGCTTTGCAAGAAATTACTACTCTTTAGTGTTGCAGTGTCTAAGATGGGATTCTGTGACTTCACCAAAGCATAATCTTTCTGTCTGGCCAATGTGTACAGAATACAGGCAATAGCGTTAATTGGCAACATTGATTTCCTCTCCTGCTGCAGAAAGTATGAATCATCATAGTGCTTTACAGATTAAGCTGTTGCAAACTGCAAACTATTTGGAAATCCAAATTTACAGTGGAATACAGCAGAATTCTCCCCTGTGTTTTATATAAGACATTCCTGTTGATACACCTCAGAACTTTCTATTTCCATGGAAGTGCTATTGCTCAACCTGGTAAACTAGCCAATTAGCCCGTCATAAGACAGGATTTTCAGGTCTGTCCTCCACATTGGTCTTCTCTCCTGAGCCTCCGGTCTCTCTTTCCGTGTCTCTTTCTTTCTCTCTCCTCCTCCTACTGCCTCCCCCTCTCTCTCTCAACTCTCCTCTGCCTTCTGCCTCTCTCTATCTCTTCTCTTCTCTTTCTCTGCTGCATAGGGAGCGCGGACCCCAAATGGCCACTTGCGCCACTTGCTCCCATGCGGCGGCCCGGCTGAGTGGTGCAGAAGTCAGCCAAGCGCCATGGCGGGAGGAAACAGTGCTGCCTAGAGGGAACAGCCAGCATTTCAGCGTTACAGTCACAGACATTGGGCCACTATATATATGATGCAGAGATCTGAAGTGTGGATGGTGCAAAGATCAGTCAATAATGGTAGAGCCCAACGTGAAGTAGTTTGATGTTCCATTGTTGTCTTGGCCATGATGGGCCAATTAAGATATCCTGATAGAATCTTGCTTTACTTAGTTTAGAACAGGCCTGGGCAAAATGCTGCCTGTGGACCTGATCTGGCCTGCCAAGCCACCAGATCCGGCCCATGAACACTGCAGGGAGCCCCAGGCAGGTTCCCTGCTTGCCTCACCACACCCACACACTACTCAGAAATGTGGCAGCAGGGCAGTTTCACTTGAAAAACTGAGCCCGGAGGGGAGAGGGAAGCTGCACCCCCTCCTATACTCCAATTCTCTGCTCTAAGTCACAATCCAACCCCCTGTACTGCAGTCTAGTGCCGCAGGTCATGAATACCTTCTTCACGCAAACTCCCTCCCTTACCTCAAGCTCCTTTCTGCACCCAACCTCCATCCCAGACCCCGCACCTCCCTCCATTAATATCAAGGAAGATTGCAGCCCTTGACCACTTTCCAAAATCTTGGAGTGGCCCCCTGTTAAAAAGTATTGCCCGCCTTGGTTTAGAACTTAGGAAATCAAAGTGAATGCAGGAAATGCATACATTAGAACTATTCCCCGGTTCAGGAGAAAAATATCTGTCAAGGATTTGCTCATTAGCAGACACTCAAAGAAAGGGAATACGGTGTTGAGACTGGTGGCAAACAAATCTAGACTAGGGAACCCCCAATGTTTGAAGATATCCTGAATTACCAAGTTGTTTTAGAGACCATTCGTGCATCTGTGATGATTGTCTGCTGAGATGATTTACCAATTTGTTGTGTTCTCTTGATATGTGTAAAGCTTATCAGAGAAAATTATGCAGCAAATCTCATAGCTTTTTCACTTCATTTCACAGGTAAATCAAATGAGTCCCCACTTCTTTGTTCACAT